CTCAGCCACTTCCCCCCCTTCCTCCCCCAACCACCCCTCGTCTCACCCTGGCAGATGAATTAGGAGCCAGAAGCGCATTTCGTAATTTTACACAACGCATTTCATTTCAATTAGGAGTTCCTTCATTGCAAAACATATTTGCTTTTATACTGTGTCTGTGTGCATATCTATGTTACATCTATCTATATACTAATAAATATATATGGCCTGGTTTAAAGTGCCAATTTATAAAAAGCTGCCTCCTTCAAAGGCAGACAAGACCCAATTTCATCCATGACAAGAAGGGAGCAGAACTGACTGAATATTGCCAAATGACATAAAACATAATTTAAAATTTCTTAAATAAATATAAAAGTTATTCCTAAAGAAGCCATAGGCATGTCAACAATATAGGTTGTAACCGGTGCTCAACAGCTAAAGTACCATTGAAAAACTAAAATGCCATAGCAACTTCAGCAATAGGCATGATACATTGCAAACGTGTTGGTTGGGTGTTGGTTTGTTGTTGTTTTTTTTTTTTAAATTAAATGTACACCACAATGAACTTAAAAAACCCCGCCGTTGGTGCAGTAATGAGAAGACATCTCAGGTGTTACGGGGAACGGGACCATGCATAGAAAGCTGTGTCTGTATATTCGTTGTAAAACAGGTCTATAAAGTGTAAAGCAGGTAACGCAGTTGATAGAAGAAACCAACCCTAGACGAGATGCCAAGTGATGTAACACGACTGGCTCCAGTTTTGACAGCAATGGATACTAAAGCAAGTCCATCCAGTGCAGGTAAGAGATGAGCTTCACTGCAGTAATACTGAAGTTGCCTTTTTCAGCACTTAGCACAGTGAGGTGGGGAGAGGGAAGGAGAAATGCTCCAAGAAAGGGCGAGTGGACGCTGCCCACGCCAGTCTTCTGCCCGCTCCACCTGTCGGTCGGGAAGATTGCCGCCAGAGGTTGGCTCTCGGTGGGCAATGGGCACGTTCCCCCTCAAAACCGTTCCCCGGAGCTTTGGGTGAGGAAGTGCTGATCTGCCGCCATGCGTTAAGGCCCTCCACGTCACGCGGGCTGGACGCCCCGGCCAGGGGATGCAGGCGGGCTTGGGGACACCAGCCCGGTGCCGGGGAGGCTGCAGCCGCAGTGGCGCTCGGGACCTCCTCGGGTGAAGTTCCACAACTGTTTCCTGCCAACTGCTTCACATACGTGTTGGAAAAGGACATGGCTCTATAAGTTTCAGGAATCACAGTAGTGCGCAGTGGGTACAGCAGGGAGCAAACACTTGTGAAACTCCTACGGAAGCAGCTCCCAGCCCTTTCTTAAAGCACTTTTGTTTGCATTCAGGGAAACCAACTGCAGGCTTATTTGATCCAATTTTCTCTTTGCACCATACACATATAAAACATTACAACTCTGTATAAAAGTACAAGTGGTTCTTGTACATCTGAATTATGCAGGAACTATGTGAGCAAATCCTATCAAAATAGCTATTTTTTTGTGTGTATAAACAGCATTTGTTTTTAGAAAAAACAATATCATAAACTGCAGAATCTGTACAAAAATATAAAATAAATTTGGGCAGCAGTTTCTAAACAGCCATGTAAATGCAACACTTAAAAGAGGAGCAGGTTAATGCCTCCAAAAGGCTGAATTGCTAAGTCAACCTATACAGGGCTAAAATGGTATTGAGATTATCTAAATAATAAATTTTTTTTACCTCTTGCAATAAAACTTATAGAAAAAATAGACAAATATGCACATGCAATTTACAGCTTTCCCCAACATAATCCTTGTGCTTAGCTTTTACAATTTTTTTCTTCTTTTTTTTTTTTTCTTTTTTTGTAATAACATAACATTGTCTACAATACATATTCTTTCCTATACCAGGATATTCGGTCTTCCTTGAGGAACCACTTTAAAAAAAAATACATTAGAAGTGGTCATACATGGATGAAGGCACTCCAACTCTGCTTGAAGCAAAAACTAGTGTGATCCTTTTCTTTTCAAAAAAGGCAAGCAAGGACGCATGCACAGTGCTGTGAATCGGGGGTGGGAGGGACTATGGAAATACTACCAAGTGTATATACTGGTACTTAAAATTAAAAAAAAAAAAAAAAGTTGCTATATTTCTATATTTTAAGACCCAACAAGCACCTCCATGATGTGATCCAGTTCTGTAAGGTCCATTTTGAAAGGCTGATTTGGAGTTACTGGTTGACTGCTGTACGGAGCGAGAGTTTTGAGGAGCTCATCTGCTGAGACAGGAGCCATTTTTGAGGCAGCCCCCGTGGCAGACGTGCAGGGGTCAAAATCATACATGGACGTATCAATGTCAGCGAACAGAATGTCATCCAGGGTCAAGTCTGTGAGGAAACCTGTGGAAGTTGTGATCTCAAAGTTGCCGGGTAGCGAGTCCATGAGTTTCGATTCGGCTGTTCTGCTCTCTGGGAAGCCCTCGGGCTTTTGAACACTGGACTCGCTGGGGTGGTCTTTAGAGTCTTCGGCTGCTGTTTCGGCTGCTACTGCCTCTGCGGAGGTAGGTGCTGGACAAAGCTCCTCGATTTCGTCCAAGGCTGAGGAGAAGCTGTCCTTTACTGGGTGGAGAGCAGGAGGTGGTGGTTTTGTCGGACCATCGTGCTGGACAGTTGGGGAAGTGCAAAAAGTGTCATCCTCGAGCAAAGAGGCTGGGGTGAGGCAAGACTCCAGGGGCGTAGTGCTTACGAAGTCAGTGGGGAGAAGGGGCTGGGAGGCGAGATGGCTGAATGCCGGCTGGGCCTCGCGGAAGTTGTCGCTGAGAGGGTCGGCGGGCTGTGAAGCGGTCACGAACACGGGCCTCAAGCTGCCTTCTTGTTTGAGTTCTTCCTGGATTCGCCTCAACATGTTGTTAATTAAAACTGTCTTTTGCAAGCTTGGCTCAGTTAATGGCCTGTGGTTATAAAGTTTCATAAGGGAAATGTTGAAGATAGTCTGACGCTGTAAGGTGTAAGACACCTTAGAGGGACCGTCAGTAGGAGACACCACTTTGCCTTCCAACCCATCTTCATGCTCGTCAAACTTCCGCTTTCCTCCTTTCCCCAACATATATCTGAAAGGAAAGAGAAGAGACCAATGAAGCCAGCAAAGCATGAAGCCTGTTCTTCCCTCCCAAATCACTACCCCAGTCCACCTGCTCCCTTGCACACAGTGTGGACAGATTGGCTGCTCTGTCCCCCTCCTCACCTACGCCTAACAGTCACAAGTGGAAATCTGTCTGCCTAAATAACTCACTCTTGACCCACAGCAGCGTGGTGAGGAAGCAGAAGCCACCTTAATGCAGTGCTCTGGTCTGTGGCTACGCTGGTAAGTTCAAGCAGGAATTCAAACAGCATCTATAAAACTGAAGCCCTTGCACGCTTGGCAGCAAATTTCGCTCTTGCACACGTTAACCCTACGGTCCCCAAGTATCAGTACATAGGTGCACAAGCTACAGATGCCATATTGAACGCTCCTTTAAATTTCCTGACTGATGCAGTACTATGCCTGGGAATACAAACGTAATACACTGACGTTCTTACAATGAATCTCCCTTTTTATTCAAAAGTGTGTTCAGGGCAGGGGGAAGTGGAGCACAGCCCAAGCAATTGTATACTGAGAGGAACCTTCCCGGTGATGTCAGGAGATGCAACCCTTCAGCACACCAGGGTATACGCATATGTGACCTCATGGGTTTATCTGTTTGATCACCTAAGGACTAAACTACTAAAGCAGGAAATGCAGTTATTACACTCAGAATTAGATAAATTACAGATGAAGACAATGATCCATCAGGTCTTTTAGTCTAATCCCCAGGTATTTGAAATCCTTTCCTCAGCTTCTGCCTGGCTGAGGCGATGCCAGTAGCCTTCGCTTCCTCTGGTAAGACTTTCAGGAGCTTGCTAGCCACAGACAGAAAAGCTTTTGCACCAAAGACGCATTACTCCAGATGCACCATTTGTCTTTGCTTCTTCCCCATCAAAGCGTGCTCAGGACTACATCCATGTCAGGTTTCATTTGAGAACAAAAGAATGCTGCAGGGCTTTCTAAAGAACAGAAATCAGCATAAATGCATGTGCTTTTCTCCTGGTCAGATGGCAGATTTTTAAGAGGGAAACAAAGGGAATTTTACCAAACTTGCCCCGCATCATAAATTATCTCTGAGCTCAGAGTAAATAGGGCAGTTCAATACCTGGTGCCATCTCTTCCAGGGTGTTTCAGAGCACCTGGAAATGCTCCTCCACACAGCACAGTCCCAGCTTCATTCTGTCACCATTATTTTTGAGACATGAAGATCCCCTCACATGCAAAGGAAAGAAGGAATTGCTGTGCTGTGATAGAGGCACAACCTAACGTTACTTGTCTGAACGGGGAGGGCTTCAGCGTCAGCAACCCTCTGCCCCACGCCACCACCCGTCTTCAGTGAGTAGCCAGGGTTTGGTTTCTTGAAATATCCATGATGACTTGAGTTAAAACCAGCACGGTCACTGTGGCAGGTGCTTCTTTCAGTGCTTGTGAGATGGCAGCTTCCCTCTGACTCTCTCCTCGACTACCTGCACAGAACCCAGTTTACCAGACAAGGTGTTTTATCACACCTAAATCTAAACTAGAAGGACCAGAGGCTGTCACTACTCTTCCCTTGCCTGTCCCATGGACTACATCAAACCAGCCGAGGAACAGTCCTGTAGAGAAGGGGGTAGAATCGCAGGCGTTGTGGAGCAGCAACCTGCACCCGGCCTGCTTCCACATCTTAGGGCAAACGCTTGGCTTTCCTCTCTCTCATTTCCCCAGGCAGAATGGTGAGGTGCTGGAGCGCCAACCCGGTCGCCCCTTTAATAGGATCGGAGACAGCCCCCTGTTCATCCCTGCATCCCTCCCTCCATTTAACAGAACGCTGATAAAATGGCATGAAGATTTCTGCCTCGTTTTTAAAAAGAAAAAATAAGTGGAAGATGCTTTCCAGCCCCAGCTACCCAGAAAGAAGCTGCAATAGGCATATAGATTTTTAACCGCAAACCTGACTTCTCTCGTATGAGCTTTATTATGCAGCTATTGCCTCGCTATTGTCTAGGAGACAAAACTCACCTTCCTTATTTGAACACAATTCCCTGTTCCCCCAACAGGATCCGTGCCTGCGAAATGACTGCACGAGGCAGGTCTAACACCAATTTGATTGTCATACTCTGGTTCTGCAGACAGACAACGTAGCTAAGGACTTGCAAGCATCCCCAGGAATGGCTGACAAACATTTAAAAGCAAAGAGCCCTTGCAAAGTTGGAGAGGGGGGAAAAGAAGTCAGGGTTTCAATGCAAAAAGACAAGAGCTTCAGAAGTATTTGCTGGACATTAAATCCAAACTCAGACTGGGTGAAGTGAGCCTCTTCTGGTTAAAAATAAGTCCCAAATCCAGATCATTTTCTAGCATATTATGCAATTAAAAAAAGAAAGGCAGGAGGGGAGCAAGCTGAGCAGAGCTGAGGAAGGGGTAGGCTGCCATCCAAGCTCCTTGGCCAGCTACCAGCGATCCCCGCGCCTGGAATCTCGGGTGAACAAAACCTCTGAAATTTAGCACTACTGCCGAAGTCTGGTTTTTCTCTGCTCCCTAGTGTCACTTCCATGGACTACTCCCAAGCTGTGCACGTGGGTTTGGGGTGTGGCGGGGGGGGGCTTTGCTGTTCAAATGTTCATGACGGACACATTTCCTTCCACTTCAGACACAGCGAACAAGAAAGGGAGGACCCAGCTAGCAGGAATTGAAGCCCCGGTCCAAGCCCAGCACATTTTCAGAGCAGCAATGGGTCAGGAGGAGAGCTAGCAGCTTTCTGTCCCTTCCTACTATCTCCTCCCCCTGAGAAAACACAGACTCTGTCCTAAAGACATACCAATGCTCCTTCCACAATGCTCTATTTAAAGGAGAAATTTTTAAATGGCTTGGGGACTACGAGAGTTTTCAAGTTTGTCAGGCTCTGCCAGGAATGTATAAAAATATTCACTGTACAAAGCAAACTTTTTTCCCTGTGATAAAGAAAACAGACCATTCAGGTGGCCATGCTCCGTTCCCCGTGCTCAAATATTAATTATTATTGTCAGAGGACGTTGGCAAGCATTTTGAATGAACTCAACTGAGCCCTTTTGCATCCAAGATTGAGGTGCTGGTAGCTAAGACATTTTTTAAGCTGATCAGTAAGAGCTATGGCATCATCATTAGTAAACACAACGACAACCTCACTACGTCACTTTCCAGGAAGCTTAGAAATGATTCAAGGTTTCCTGTATGTATGACTTTCAAGTCTTCATATCTCACTCGATCTTCATGAAGCTTGGTTCAGAGCTCGTCCTTTTAAAAAATAAAATAGACTAGGCAACTCCCAATTTCACCTACGAGCTTTGCAGCCCAGCTTTCAGTTTCCTTTTCCCTAGTAATGCTCTCTGAAGTGGGTTTAACCATTCAAGTAGCAAAGCACGATGCCAGCCTAAGCAAGGGGGTTTTATTCCCCCCCACAGAGCGGGCTCAAATCAGCACCGCTAGACTCTCAGCTTTGTAAAGTTTTATTTTATTCCCTTCTCCTCTGGTGTGCAAATGGGAATTGCAAAAACATTTTCCTCCAGTCTCCATAAATCACTTTATTCATTCTAAGCAAAGTGAGGAAGTGGGATCTTTTTAGACCAGTTGATAAGAGTTGGTAAAAACGGACACGCTTTCAGGCTTCCAAGCCCTTCGCTGGATCTTCATAAAGGAATTTTATAGTTTCTGACCACCAGAGCTTAAGACAAGACTGCCTGTTTGGTCTTTACACTTCAAACCATCTCCTCCCTCCTTCAACCAACAGTTTCATACCTACATGAAAGAGATCAACTTTGTACATCTTAAGCTACTGAAAAACATTAAAAAAAAAAAAAAGGCAAGTTGTACAATGCCAACATTTGTTCTGGTTCAGTTCTGTTCATCTCAAAAACTTTGCTCCTGGCCTTTCCAGCTGAAGCTCCCAGTGGGAAAATGAAAACATCAAGCTTACCGATTGGGTTGGCCAAAGATCAGTACAAAATGAGATAGACCCACCCCCTCCCAAGTGTCAGAAGACCAAGTTGGCCTACCAAGTCATGTGGCAGTAATAGGGACAGCCAGACAACCAGCAACCCACCAAAACACAAGACTGGGCAAGCAGCGACAAAGGATCACGTCCATGAAGGGTCTTCTCATGCAACCATTTTGGCTACGCAGCAATCCCAGCCCGATGTATTTCTGCTGCATTTCCATCCATCTGCCAGTAAACGTCATTTTGGGGCCAAGCGCTAAGAGTTGAGATGGGACATTGCTTCTTGTCGTTGTTTTAACGGAGGGTGTTGCAGGGTTTTGCTGTGCAAGTTAAGTTTTCAATGTTACTTAGGTATGTGGAAGCAGAAAGCTGAAGAAAGGCAACGGAAAAACTGCGTTTATCTAGGGATTGGGGTGGGGGGAGTTACTTGGAGATCTTCCCCAATATTATCCACCAGTTGGCTCCAGCTCTGGAAGACCCAGACCCAAAAGCTGAACCATTGTTGTTGAGAAAGATTCAACTTGCTTTTTTGCCCATTTAGGGCAACTGCACACGCCTCCGAGCCAGAGAAACCCTAGCATTGTTTGAGAGTTAGCTTTTCTTAATTGAAAAACAAAAGTAATATATATTTTTTTCATTTGCATGTCATTTAGCTTCCTTTTATTGGCTCTGCATCCTCTTCAGGCAGAGCTGGAAAAAAATGCAGTTGGGGCTCAGTAGAAGAGATAATCAGCCTGGAGCGGGTGGCTCTCTGGAGTCAACCATCATCGATTAAACACAGAAAAGCTTCTGCAATGCTTGACTATGTCTCTGAGCCCACTTAGTGACGAACCCTTCACTCTCCAGAGGACAGAGGTACGCACACATCGTGAGAGAAGTATTGTATTTAATCGATCATACTCAGGATGTTATGCCTTGTCACTGCTGGACTACGTCTGAAGTCTTTAATAATTGGGAGTTTGGCATAGGGAAGTACTAGATATGTAAAAACAGAAGGGAAAAATGATTTGGTTATCTCACCAATAATAAAAATACCCTTTAATGTTAATTCTCAAAGGCTTTTAACAGTTTAGTTTAA